ATTCAAAATGAAAAAGGATTTTGCATTACAACCATGAAAAGTAACCAGGAAATTAAATTTGTAAACTTAAATTTTAAACTATTTTGTGAAAATAATTGTATCTTTCATAAATTTTCTTCTACAAGAACACCTTAACAAAACAGGGAAGTTAAAAGAAAGAATTGAACTCTAAAAGAAATGCCTAGAATACTTCTTTGCGAAAATCCTTTACGAAAACACTTATAGGTAGAAGTAGTAAATATTGCCTGTTATATGCAAAATAGAATATTGATAAAATAAAAAAAAAACTAATGTTGAACAAGACTCCTTGTAAGTTATGGAGGGGAAAATTACCCAACTTATCATATTACCATCCATTTGGATATGAATGTTATATCCTCAACACTACGGATTAACTTGGAAAGTTTGATTCCAAAGTGGACAAGGGTAACTTTCTTGGATATTCTGATACTTCAAAAGCATACAAAGTTTTTAACTCTAGAACCTTTACAATTAAAAAATCAATCTGTTTCAAGGTTAATGATGCCTTAACGACTGATAGAAAACTATTAGATCGAGAAGAGAAATTTGCAGACTTGTAGATTGAGCATGAGAAGACTATTGAGATAAATGCAAAGGATTAGAAAATTATTGAAGGTCTAATGAATCAGTCAAATAGTGCATCCATATCTCATAAAGATTGGAAGTTTGTAACCTATCATCCTCAAGATAAAATATTAGGAGATAGGATTAACAAACTAAAACAAGATTTGCCTTCATAGACAATGCCTCATATGCTCTAGACTACGAGATCTAGCTGTCACTACAAGAAAAATTGTTATTATTTACGGAATATTACCTACGAAATTTTTTCTACAGGTAATATTTAGTTATCTACGGAATATTACCTACGGAATTTTTTCCGTAGGTAATTTTTAGTTATCTGCGGAATATTATCTATGGAGTTTCTTCCGTAGGTAATGACTGGTTATCTACGGAATATTACCTACGGAAATTTTTTCGTAGGTAATTTTTAGTTACCTACAAAATTTTGCCGTAGGTAATGTTTAGTTAACTACGGAATATTACCTATAGAATTTTTTCCGTAAGTAATATTTAAGATTTTCTACAGAATTTACTAAAAGATTATATTGTCAATATATATATATGGGTTCAAACGATATCGGTATAACTTTTACTAAGTATTACACTGTTCAATAACTTTATATTAAATGTGAATTTTGTAAATTCAACCGTTAAATTGAAAATTCATATAACTTTATATGTGTATATTAAATTTTGTTCAAATTGAACAACAACTTGAAGGTAATCAAAGTATTCATATTTTAGTATATTTTAAAATAAACATATTACGTTAATTTTGTTTTATAAGAATGAAGTATCAAATCATCTTGAATTAATATAAAATTTTATATATACAATCTAAGAGTAAAAAACTTTCAATCTAACGGTTAAATTTACAAAATTCACATTTAATATAAAGTTATTGAACAATATAACATTTAGTAAAAGTTATACCGATATTATTTATACCCTCTTCATATATATATATATATATATATAT